GGCGCTTTTCGAGCTCAGGGCTTCTGATACAAGTGGAAGCTCTGCTTTTGACCTTCATCCTTTTCAGTGTAGACTGGATCATGTATTAATTTATCTCCAGAGAGTTAACAAACAGCTGAAGTGTGACAGTTCTCCAGTACACGCTGCAAAGGGCTACCTCTGTTTACTGGGGCTCTTGTTATGAGGACAAGTTTGAAATTAACAGGCACAGAATTTGCTTTATCCAGACAGAATAAAAGGTAAAGCAGGTCCAAAAAATAAAAGGGCAGTTGATCACATGAATAAAAGAAATTTGCAGATTTAATCTAATTCCTCGTGCTGAAATTCCCATATCACACACAAAAAAAGAAAATATTGTTTTCATACATTGTGGAACTTATTTTGTGTACATGATCTTGGAATTTATTGGATGAATCACCTGCATCTGAGTAAAATAGTCTTTATGCAACATAAAAGAAAAACAATAAATAAACAAGGAAATCAGTGGGGTAAGCATGCCTCCTCTCACCAGATCAGGCTGAGAAATACATTCCCTCACACTATTTGTGCAACAACCCTAAAACAATATCTTCTTAATTTCTTCTCTTCCTCTTTTTTATTCTTTCTAAGCTTGAAGCCTGAAAATACATATCTATATGTTTTCCATTATATAATAAAACAAAAAAAAAATATTCATTTTGCAAAAAATGTTGGGGCAATTACTTTAAATCCCTTCAATTTTTGTACAGCAGCAACAAATCAACTGGTAATCAGTCTGAGAAATAAATATTGAAAAATGTAAATTTTCTCCTAGGTAAAAATCTAACTAATTAGCAACAAATATTTATTAGGTTTTGATTTTTTTTTTTTTTTAAGAATTCTTCTACTCATCTGAAGTACAACTTTCATAAGACAGTTAGCACGAAACTCACTTTGCATCTGTGATACACTCATTCTGTGCATAAACATGCAATTCTATTTACCTGGAATAACTGCAGAACATCTTCAGCCTTAAATATATCAATGTTAACTAGCATTAGGGAAAAAACAAACAAACAAGCAATCTAGAATAACATTTCCATTCAGGCAAGAAGATACACAAAAAGCTAGGTCATGGCGCAATCTGATCAGCACTTGAAGAATGCTTAGGTTAAACAATTTTTCATTAGCAGAGGGTTTTTTATTTTGTTTGGTGGCACAGGTACATCAATTTGCTAATTTTGTTAGTCATTGCTCAACCCCCAGGTTAATCATCGCTAATGTTTTGCAGAATGTGCTGCAGTCAATTATTGTTATTAGTGTAATTGGTTTGCTAAATATAAGCCAGCGATAGATGGTGGCAGGATGTAAAGGGTCTTTTGTGAATGTTTTTTGGAACACTGAAAAATAGAGGTAAACACAGAGGTGAACACAGAGGTCTGAGCTACATCAGACAAAGACCATGAGAGTAACTTGTTCTCTGACCTCTGAAGGTATTTCTCAGGAGAATGGCTTTCAAAATCACTAAGATTCTTAGGGTTTAAACCCTATGTCCAGAAACTTGAGGTGAGTTTAAATGGTGCTGTGGTGTCTAGAAGACCAAGTGTCAAATTCTCTTTTTTAAGTGAAATTTATATAACTAGAAACATGCATTTTTGGCATGGACTATATTTAAATGAGAGTCAGTAGAAAATTCACTTTATTTAATTTCAGTTTAATTCCTGTTTCTAGACTAATTTTGGTCTGAAATTGCATCAGACTGTACTTGATGTTCTTGATGACAAACACAACCTACGTGAAGTAATAAATTAACGTGTTGCTCTGAAAACAAAAACAGTTTTGTTTTCAGAAGTCTTAGAAGGGGTAATTCATTCTAGGGCATCTATAGTTCATAACTAGAGCACAGAAATCAACTCCTGTGAAAATTTACATAAAATTTTGTACATTTTAATTAAACACAACTATTCTTATGGGTTTGGGGTGGTTTGTTTTTTTTCCCCTCCTACAAAATAGTGTCACTGATTTTTGAAATGTGAGGACCCTTAAGTAACAATTCTTAAAACATTTGCAGTTTGCACATCATTACTCTGGATGTGATGGGTATCAGACTTGGATGTGCTGAGCTTTAACCTCTTTTTACAAATTCCTGTGAAATTTCTGCCACGCTGAATAGTTTAAATAACAGGACATTGACTGTCCTACTGGACTGTCCATCATCTTGGAGCAAATAACTGAAGAGACAAGCCTGACAATCCAAAGCAAATATTCTATAAACACCAGTGCCAAAGAACATCTATTGCTGGTCTCCTCTTCCTAATTCCTCCCTGTCAACAAACACAATCACAACCCTCAGCCCCTTGCAAGGAGCAGGCAGTTTTCAATGCAAAGACCTCCACACACGCAGGATGAAGTGGCAGAGTAAGAGAGTGGGAAACAGCAGATCAAAATGCCCAGGGGATCTCTAGAAGTCAACTACATCTAAGGTAAAAAGAATTCTAACATTTTTGCGTCTTGGTTCCTATGGAAAATTCATTCAAGATCTGAATTATTTAATACTGAACGTATTGAGGAGTGGAAAGTCTTTCACCTGAAAGAGGTTTTATGTTGTTTCCCACTCAGTAACTCAACCCCAGCTGTTACTTTTTTTATCATGACTTAAAAGCAAAGCAAGAAGGAGAAAAAAACAAAAACAAAACCATAACCAAAATCAAACAGGATATTATCAATATTTCTAATCATATATTACTTCTTTGTCAAAATCAAAACTGGAAACTGAACTTTGTTTTTGTTTTTGCCTTTTTTTTTTTTTCTTTTGTGGGATTTTTTGTTTGTTTTTGATTTTGTGGTTTTTCGTTTTGTTTTGTGGGTTTTTTTTATTTTTCTTTTTCTTTTCTAATCTTTCATATTTATTCTACTCTGATCCATTTTTATCGTTAAATTCATAGTGTCCTTAACAGAATGAATCTAGGTCACTAGGGTAAAGAGGAGCTCATCTTGTAGAATTAAAGTAGTCATTTAGAGCTTTTTCTGCTTGTAATCTGGTGTAAATTAATCCTGTTTATGTAACAGTCAGAATGAATTAATGATTTATGGAATACCATCAATTTTTTCTTATCTCTATGAGAATTCTGTCATTTGGACTCTCTCTCAGGATTCCATTGAAATATTTCACGTCCATTTCAGAGCCAGTAAATGTTGACTGCCCACGTCCTTCCTTAATAATGCTCAGTTGCTGCTTTGTTTTGTTTTTTTTCCACCCAGAAGTTTCACTTCTGTGGAAACAACAGAAAGTTTTCATTTATCCCAATGAATAGTCACAACTGCCCACTTAGTCCTATCTTTATTTCTCTAGACCATGCAGACACACAATTTTAGTTGTTAATTGTGTAGTTATCAGCTTTGGAGATGTATCATTGCTTTGTGCAATCCACAGATTTGAAGGCTTTATTCTCATGAAATTAACAGGTAATGTCTTCTAAAAAAGGAGATTTGAATAAACTAAATTTAGGATTTAAACTCTTAGCTAATAGTGACTGTGAACTCTGAAATTTCCTCAAGTATATATATAAACTTTGGCTCTTATGATTCAGTCAAACTACAATTTTAGTATGGTTTGTAATATCTTCGGTAAATAAGGTTTCAAAATTACATTGTTCTTACAAAGATATGTTTGGGAAAAAAAAAAGTTGCTGCCATCTTTTGGATACACTCAGAAAAAAAAAAAGGAGAAAGAATAAGGGGAAAAAAAAAAAAGAAAGAAGTGATATTTTACTAAAAGTTCCAGCTGGATATCAGCTTTACCATGGAAAAGATAATTTGAAATTGCAAAAACTTATTCTGAGATAACCATTATTTTCTTCTTCCACATTTTATGTGGTGATTATAGAGTAACATCTGTGCAAAAATTGTTTGCTTGGTTAAGCAATACTGATGGGCAAATAACTTTCACTGAAAAATGTGCCACTGAAGCTGAAGCCCAACATAACAAGAATACAAAATTAGGGATAGAGAGAGAAAATTACATCCTCTACCAATATTTATTTTTTTACACCTATGCCTCATCTTATTGTTTGAGTATAAACAAAACTTATTTGATCTACACAATTATTACAGTTTAGTGTTACAGCTTATTTATCCTGAAATTTCCTTGGAATCTAGCCTGATTATATTCTGTTACCCTTCTTTTTTTGTTGTTTCTTTTCTCTTTCAGTTTTTCTTTTGATTTCCATAGGATATAATCAAATGCTCGTTGTGTGGCCAGCTCAATACACTGAATTCTTAGACAAACTCTGCATGTTCAGCAAAGTCTTTGTAAGAACAGAGAATGCTAGTTTCAGTGAGAATAAATCAAAGATGATAATATCTGGGGAAAAGAAAACACTGTCTGGGGAAAATAATGACTCCTCTGAAGAGATACCATTGTCAGACACCAGCATATCTTACCAGCTCTGGACAGTGATATTAAAATATGCTGCAAATCTGCCTTATCACCTGAGGTGAGACTCAGGCAGGCATTCTGTACCTGTCCGGACAGGAGAGGAGACTCACAGCAGCTGAGAAACAATGACAATCAACACAAAAAACGAAAAAGAAAAAAAAAGAAAAAAAAGAAAAAAAGATGTGGGGAAGAAAATCGAGTCACTGTAGGCATCCTCCACATTCTCACTGTACAGCTGACTTTGCAGTTAGTTTCATTTCTGCCTGAGCACAGGGACTGTCAGGCCAACAAGTTACATCCACACTGTCCAGCAGACCATCACCCCTCGCCAAGTGCCACTTGCTGTTAAACCAACAGCAGCAGTCTGACTGCTCTCCCCTCAGACACAGCAGAATCAAGGTCAACTTTACACAAACAACAAACTAAAAAGGCTTTGTAACACTTCAGTCTGCAACAAATTAAGCTGACTCATCACCCCAGACACAGACTAGTCTTTTATACAAACCATGTGCAAGAAACCCCTCATTAAACAGCGTCTTTATCCTGTGAACTTTATGCTCCCAGAGCACCCCTTCTCCCCAGAAATGTTGTTGCTGAAACTTACCGCTTTTGCCAACTCCCCCTGCTCCCAGCATCACCACCTTGTACTCTCTGGAGCCTGCTGAAGAATTGCTAGAGGAGCTGATCATTTCGTTTTCTAGCTCCATCTTGCACGAGGCAGAAGAAGGGAGCAAAACGAAGAACAAGCAACTGGCAGGTGCTTTCCCTGATCTTAAACAACTATAAAAGCTGTGCTAGAGGAGAAAAAAAAAAAAAAAAGGCAAAGGCAGAGAGGAAAGGTATAATGCAAGAGGTGTGATTTATCAGCCTCACACTCACTGCTGTGCCTGTGTTAGCTGGAGAAGGTCTCATAGCAACCACTTTAACAGCTTCCAATAAAAATCTCTCTCTGCCCCCTCCCAGCTCTGTATCGTTCTCTGTGTGTGTCTTCCTGGACAGCAGCAGTTTTGTGAGGCTCCAGAGCCTTGGTACCTCTGGGGTTGCTGTGTCATTGAAATCAAATAGATCAGAGCCTCCAGAAAAAGAAAATGGATCAAATTTCTTAATCATGATGTTTGTTATTCTGTGTAGCACTTCCTTGAATCTTAATCGCAAAACAGACCAGACAACCTTCTTGTCACCTTGGAGTTAAATATTCATCCTATGATCATCAAGTTTGCTAGATTTACACTTAATGCTATTGGAAGTGAAATAAATAACAACATTCAAGAGTCTTTATCCTTCATGAAGCTTACTGCAAACACAGAAGATTTCTAAGGCTAAGTTTGTCCTCAGATCAATACTCAGTTCAGTTTGCATCAATTAGTTGTAAAAAATAAACCAGATATTTTTGGGGGAGGGGGAAAGAAAAAAAAAACCCTCTGCTTTTTGTTTTCTTTTTTTTGGACACATAATTTCAGGAGACAGGGATTGAAGGGGCATGGGGAGAACAAAACTAATTTGTTATAAGTATTTAATATTAAGTGATTTAGCTTATCAAGATGATCAGCCCCAGTCAATGAGAAAAATATAAAGCAAAAAACTGGAGAATGACATTCAGTGTGGAAATCTTACATTAGAATTTTTTGGTGAAAACTTGCAGCAAAACTCTACATTGATTTCTCGTTTTGTTCTTAACAGACCTAGTCTATTTAAAGAATGTAATCAGTAGTAAGATACTTGCCCAGCTTTAACTGTCATACACTGGTTTTGAGGACCAAAAAAAAACCACCTACTGCAAAAGGGCTGGAAAGCAAAAAACTTTGAAAAGTGCTGGACTTTCATGACAGATGGAACTGTTAAGGAAAAAGGGAAATGGAAGCAGTAGAAGCAACCTAGCAGAGAGTCTTGGAAGCCTGACACTTTTGTCTGTCAACTCTTCCAATTGTTTCACAGAGAGTAAGCATATGGTATTACACAGGAACACAGAATAAAAAGCTGAAGGGGAAAGAAAAATAATCATAGACTGAGGAAGGACATGGTTTAAAGAAAATTAAGAAGGAGAAGAAAATGTACAAAAGGGCACATATATGAAAGATAGTTTAATGATCTGGGAAAATATAAGATTAAAGAGATACATAGATACGATGATAATTATTAGAGTGGAAAAGGTAAACAAAACATGAATACTCACTTTCTTTCCTAATAAAAAAATAGGAAACAGCAGATGAAACAGAAAGTAACCCAGTTCATAAGCAAAGTACTTAAAAACATCATGACTAACTTAGGAAAATTTTTACCACTTGAATTTTTGGGCAGTATAAATGAACTTGTAATGAATGAGAACTGAAACACAAAGTAATACAAAATCCACTGTGGACTATTAAAATCTCTTACTTAAGGAGGACTCAAATTTCATACCAAAAGATCTTGTGAAAACACCGAAAAATCCAGTTCTGATGGTTTGTTTCCAGGTACACAGAAAAAGAGAGCAAAGAGAGAGACACCGTGTTCTGAGAAACTCCTCCGTAGTCCAGATCTGCTACTAAGGGAGGTCTGTGCTAGCCATGCTGTAAGCAGCTCTGTAGGTCAGGGCTGGGTGACTCTATTGATGCCTGGATGGAAGTCCCAGAAGGATTTGATAGTCAGAGCATAAAGCAGGACTTAAGAAAGAAATTCTGAAAGTAATAATGTGGTGTCTAAATATTGAACTTCAACAGGAGGAGCCAGGTAGGTCGGTTAATCCCTGCTGTAATTAGAATTCCATTTACGTTAAAATCATTCTCATTTGCTCATTATTGATGCATTAGATAAAACTAATAATGATATCAAAATCACTGCTCAGAACAGCTGGGTTTTTCTGGTAATCTCCCATCGGAACTGCAACCTTCTCCTGAGGAGCTTTTATCCCCATACCTAGCAGCAACATTTGGCTGACATTAAAATGTCAGGAAAGTGAGTGGCTGTGAGTATGACTAAAAGGTATTTATATACAAATTTATATATAAAAATATTAGTGAATATTATGCATACATAATACCTAAGAACGAGTCAGATTTTTTTTCAGCTATTAGTGTTTGTCAGAGAAAAGTGGTGAGTTTTTTTCTTTTCTTTGGAGTTGTAACGGGAAGAAGGAATTTATGAAATGGAAGAGGCTACAAAAGAGGACTAAATAGAAGGCCACTTCCTCATCTTTTAAGAAAAACTAGAAAAAGCAATGGAATTTTTTTTTCTTTTTTTTTCGGAAAGAGCAGAATTAAATATTTGTCATTTGAGGATTAATCACCTCAAATACCTGCTTTAAAGACAGATTTATGTTTGTTTAACTTCAGCAGTTTAATAAGTTTTGTTACATTGTATAAAAAGCTGTATTGGACAAACATATTTTCCTTAATTTCACAGAATTTGTCCATGGCTTGAAAAGATAATACTGCATTCCGATTAAACACAGAGCTTGTTCTAGTTGGTTTTCATCATAACATCCTATTGTCAAGCAGCCTACTTTACCCTAAGTTCATTCAATTCAGTAGTGGGGGAGAATATTTAGATTTATTCCCATTTACGATAACATCAATTAGACTTCCTTCTCCCACTTGAGCAGTAAAATACAAAGGTTAGCTTTCAGTCTCCTGCCACTGAAATTAATAAGGAGATGATTTGAAATTACACAGCTTGAAACATATTAATAGGAGGAAAAAGTCACCAAGTAAATGTTTTATGGACAACAAGAAGAAACAGTACAGAATTCAACAACTGAGCCTGAAATACTATAATTTTTACAGTGTGTTACATTCCACAACAAATTCCAACCCTCTGTTTTATCTCTGCTCCTCTGCTTTAAGGACACATTTATCATGATGTAAATTCATAGAAAGCTGTCCTTAGGCAAAAAAAAAAAAAAAAAAAATGTAGCTGCAAGGGTGGGGAAAAAAGCTTGGAGTACTGGATTGTAATGAATTATTTATTTAAGAAATTTGACTCTATTTCTGTTTACATCTTGCTTATGAATTTATGGCGGTTTTGATTTTTTTTTCTATTTTTTTTAATTTTTCTATTCAAACTTATGGTAGAATACAGTAACCAATTAAACCATTCAGTATTCATAATCTAGAAACTTTTTTGCTTGAATTCTTTTTTTTTTTGGTTAAGACAGAAATAGTTGTATGCTAAGATCCTTAAGGATGCTTAGGTCTTCAGCAAAAGACAACATGCAGATGTTTTAGAAGAGAAGTAGATGAGCTTTTCTAGAGAAAATGCTATTAGAAAACACACTTCATTCATCCTACATCCCCAATTGCTCTGGGGTTGTTGAATAAAATAATTAGATGTTAATATAACATGTAAGTGTTCTGAAATTGTTTCCTAGAGCACTTTATGTTGAGGAGATTTTATCAATTAACCTGGATAAATATTCTTCTCATTAGGCAGGGAGCTCATGAGTTTGAAAACTTGAATAGCAAGCAAAATGCAAATCTTGACTCATTTGTGCTCCGTTAGGTGATGGGTTAAAGGCATATGAACTATTTAATAATAAGAGAATATGCATGAGTCCACCGAGGTCCATGCCATTATAGAAACACTGACCAATGTTTTGTCCCTCATGTTTACATATTAGGCACAGCAAAGAGGGGAAATGTGAAAAAGTATCGTCATAAAAAGGCATATAGGGCCAGCTTGCTGAATTGCTGAAGTGCTGCCGTGACAACACAGAGTGCTAATGCAGAAATCATTGCACAGCACCAGAGAATTTGCTCCTGAGAAAAAAAATACATTTGGCACACCAGCTTAACTTGATCAATTCTGAGTAAAGATAGCATAATAAAGTAATTGCTAGGGGACTTAAAAAAAATTCCAGACTTCAATTTTGCATTAGCGGATTTAAAATATTCAGTCAAAATATGCTGAACACCTCTGATTCTCGTTGCTAAGGGACCTCAAACACACTACAGAAGCATCTCTGAGTTTTTGGAATTCAGATTCCTACTAGAAATACCCAGTGGTTCAATCACCCACCTGCCACAGGCACCCTGACTCCTTTCTATAATCCCCATCCTTTTACTAGGCTCCAAGTTACTTGTCTGTAGGATGACTTGATGTGTCACACATACTGTAGGTGATTGGGCACTTGACAACCTCACACCTTGAAGCTGGTTCCCCAGCAGTTAAATATATGCCTTTTGTTCTGAAGTTCTTGTTTCTGTCCCTGGTGTCAGACAGTGCACTGTCCCTTGCCTCTGCTGAAACACATTTTAAACTAAGCCTTATCAGCATGTCAAGTGGCAAAAGTTAATGAAAAGAGAAAAGATTCAAGCCTGACTATTAAGAAAAAAAAAAACGTGAAACAACTTCAGAGGCCATAGATTTTTTTAAAGCAGTATTGTGGTTTCTTGTCAAAGAAAGATTTGTCATGAGCCACAACTTCCCCATGATTATCCCAGGTCAAATGGCACAACCAACATTGTACCTGCTGTACAAGGGTTTGAGAAACAGGGACAGTTTGTCACACTCTTGAGAACACTTAAATAATATTAACTTTAAAATTCTTACAAGTGACTACTCTAACTTCTTATAGACAGAAACACTGAAGGTCATGTCCTAGACTACGTCAAAGAGAAAAAGCCATTTTCTCTGGTTTCCAATAAAGTTTCACAAATGATTTATGACCTTACTGCCAAGAAATACTAATGATTGTGGGCCATTTATGGATTTCTGTTGAATTTTAATTACATCCACAGATAAGATTTTTACACTTTCAAATGCAACACTGATGTTCAGAATGTGAAAATCTTAGAGAACTTAAATCCTTACTCTATGTGCACGTTCTCTGTGAGAATGAATGTACATTTATTTTAAATTAATTCACCTTGCAGTGCTTTTGCTAGCAAGTAAAATTATAAGCATGAATATGATATGAAATACCATATAAATAGCACTAGAAAAGCTCTGAAGAGGTCATCTTTTTCATTCCTACCCC